TCTATACACGAGTTCTATACTAAGCGAGAGTCTGTCGATCAAGACTAAGTAGTCTCTTTTATGGATCTATAGTTTCTATGTATTTAGTAAAGCTTATACTTTATCCTTAGTGGCCTTATCTAAAATAATTATGTCTATATCGTCGCTATATAGCACGCGAATCGTAATCATAGCGCTAATAGTCTTCTTAACTTTATTTAGCACTTCTTTGTTTAGCTTATCTTTCGCTATTAACATTAAGACGCGTATAATATATCTATTTAATTTCGCGTTAAGGCTACTACTTAACGCCTGCGTTTTGGCCGCGATTCGAGTGTCTCTCGCTATAACTATTATCTATATTATCTTTTCTAGTCTAGAGCTAGCTATAAGCTTTGCTAGGGATTTCTTAATGGCCTCAAGATGTCTCTTAACTCTATTCTCGAGTACTTATCGCGAGCTAGTAGCCTACGAGACTCTCTTGGCTATCTAGCGAAGAGTGTCGAGCTACTTAAACTGTATTCCCTTCTCTTTAAGATCTTCTATAATCGCCTTTAAGGTTAGGATTAAATATACTATTACTCTTTTCCAGTGATATTGCTATGCCACTCTGTTAGGCGAGTATCACGTGTTTTGTAGTGTGTTTTAACGCGTCGAGGCCTTTCTTAGACGCGTTTTTCTCTTTAGCATCATTACGAGCGCTTCGGGTGCCTTTTGCAGACTCTTCGTCTGCGTTATTAATATTAAATAGAGTTACTTGAGTTATGACTACCGCTAGACTATCACAGTTCATTCGGTTAGCTTTGCTTACTTGTTTCGTTATTTTCTTTTTCTATTTATAGTTATAAAGTGAGTTAAATCTCACTCTCTAGTTTAAGCGAATAAGCTAGATCATGACTTACACTTATCTTTCTTGAGAGACTCTCTTCTAAATAACTTAGCTACTAACTCGATAAATATAAGAAGAAGATTTCACGTTAAGTGAGCTCTCTTTAAGCTATAAATTTTCTGTATCTTAGAGAGTCGAAATTTATAGTTTATATAGAGACGAGACTTATATTTATTTAGTTCTAGCTATTATTAATAGTATCTTTAATTAATATAAAGATACTATTCGCGCGATACTGTATATCTTTCTTTACTAATTATAAAGTCGAGAGCCTAATTAAGTGTTTAAGTGGCTCTTTTAATTAGTTCTTTATAACTTAACTCGATAGAGATATCGATAATACTAAAAGAGATATCTTATATTCTATCTTCGCTATATATAACTCTTAAACACTACCTAATCTAGTTTAAGTATTTTAATTATAAGCGATTAGTAAGGTCTTATATTAAGGATATAGAATTAAATAATAGCTTAAGATCTAGATCACTCTTTTTAGAAAGATAGTATTATAGAGAATCAAGATAAGAATTAAGATAAGGATTAAGATAAGGATTAAGATAAGAATTAAGATAAGAATTAAGACGAGAATAAGAGGGCTAAAGAAGACATTAAAGATATTAAAGATAATAAAGAAATAGATAAAGATAATTACTTCTTTAAAGAAGAAAATTATCTTATCATTAAGCCTAATATCTTAGATAATTTTGACAACACTATTAGCCCTTAATTATTAGATCTAGATAATACCCAATCTTACTTACCTTCTCTTTTTAATCTAGTTTTTTAACTAAGTGTCTCACTCTATATATAGAAATACACTAATAGCCGCCCTTAATTTATCACTCTAGTCTTTCTTAGTGATGTCTTAAATTTCACGATAGAAGGGCAAGAATATCACTATTCGCGAGCGTATATATAGACCTTTACTATATTAATACTATAGAGCGAAAATAGGTTAAGGCCCTTAAGTTAAGCGTCCCTTAAAGGACACTTTACATTCTCAACAAAGATGATGACAAGATATTCAGAGAGCCCCATAATAGGCCGATCCATGTTCTCGAGGGGACACTCTTCTATCTCATGAGCACCACATTTATCCTTCATCTATGGGGAGCCTTCAGGTTAAGTATCAGTTGCGGTTACGAACCACTCCACCACCACCCTAGACTATCATGTAAAACTTCATACATCGATACTTTAGAACCTCTTGATCATGCATCGGCCACTATATATCAATATTCTCACGTTGTAGTGTTGCTGGCGAGTGGTAAAGTATGCGCATTTTGCCCCGAGTTGGCGTTGATGCCAAGCATTAAGACCGAAACCCGAAAGGGGAATAGTGTTAATATGAAATCCGCTATACCGTCTTCGGGTTTTGGTCTTATTTTATAACAGCTACATTTCAATGATACCCATTTTAATCTATCAATATACTTCTCCTACCTAACTATTTATGGCGGTAGATGGCTGGAAATAAAGGTGGTCGGCCACGAAAGTACTAGGACGCAGATGCCTAGTGAGCTAGCCATGCAGCAAAGAATCGCCGTTACTATGAAAAGAAGACCGCCGCGGTGCCGACCCAAACCATGACCACCAGCTTTAAGATCATCCACGACCCTTATAGTATTCTGGCACAAGCTGAAGTTGAAGAATTATTGTAGTTAACCGACCTCCAACATAGTATTCAAGCAACAGGCTTATCTATGCCGGCCAACGCGAACCTAAAAATAATGAGCTGTTTTTAGTGTCTCCTTAAACTACTATCCAGCTTGATGAACAACTAACATCTCTTTCTTCTCTTCAGGCCATTCTCTTACTCTGTCAGCTTCGGCAATCATCGTAACTCATTAACCACTGAAACTAGAATATACATTCTAAACCGGGCGACACTCTCGATCATCACGATAACCCTCTTCTCCTCCCTCTCGAAAATCTCCATATCTCCCCTACGTTAGACTCGCGGCCTCGGTTGTCTTCTCGACGCTCTTCACCTCATGTCGACTCCGCCTCTCCGTTGCACCTTTCCCCTCGAATTCCCGAATCTCTCCGGTCTTCTTCCATCCCTTCGCGTCGACTCTTCTGGCCGTCTTCGCGGTCACCCTCACATCAGCCAGTGTTAATCAAGTCTAGTGAACCTTATAATAAGAATATCCAATACGAGCCACCGAGTCGGCCAGAAGACGTTTCGACTTCGGAAGAGGAGACACGAGATACAGGGGCCTACGAGCATATCGACGCCAACGACATCAGCCAGGATAGAGACGAGATCATTCAAAATAGAAACAATCAAGACAAGAATAATGACCATATAAGTAATCATCACGATAAAGGCGGTTAAAAAGGAGATATTTAAGGTGGACATAATCAAGATATAGACAGCGATCATAAGGAAGAGAAAGAAGAAGTGATTAATATTGCGTAATGGATGGCCGAGTAGCTCCTCCATTTTTACGGGTACAGTGCCAACAAGCATCTCGAAATGGCTCAACAACATACTCAAGACTCTACTAACCACATATCGCTCAACATAGTGAATAAATTTCTCACGACCATCCCCGACACCCTCGATTGTCCAACATTTCCCTCGTTGGATATCATATTTTATCACCCAGAAGCCCGCGGCTAGAAGGCCCAATTTCTCGGTGCTCATTCTGAGGAGACAGATAAAAAGATTCATATCTGTCTCTCAGTATCTAAAACCTCAGAACCTCATCCTAATCCCGTGATAAGCTTTGATTTTAATAGTGTCATGAGATTTCCCACCAGCCTCGCCTTTGCGAAATGTGGCATTAAATTCACCCTCAGCCCTTATATCATCACGAATTTACAAAATGACATCCATATTTCCCTCCTCGTTCCGACTAAGCATAGTGTGTATAAAGCACGACTTCATAAAGTGGTCCATTGTGAATTCGGTCGCGTTAGTCGCTTCGAAGATGCTTAACTCCTAGTCTTTTTTCCTTCTCATCCCCGAACGCTATTGAGCCCCAACAACTACCTCAGCCAAGATGACATCGACCATTAAATCGATCAAGTGATCTTGCCCGCGATCTATACCTGAACCTCTTCTACCCTAACTCAAGGATATCCAGCCACCTCACAACTTGCCAAACTCAACAGTCTTGCTCTGTATACGGAAACTCGGGCTCGATTTGATAGCAGAGGTCGCCAACAGCTTCTCCATTACTTTCTGCAAGCTGACCACCTTGAAGCCATCTGGGACGGGATTGTGGAACGTAGTATGGCCCCCGGGCTCAAAGATTTCCGTAACCCCCGGCTTTTCTTTAACGCCAAAAACTTAAAGAGTCAGACATCGAAACGGACACCTACTGCTGCCTGGGAGGCCTTCTTCAGTCCTTGGGAGCTCGCATTCGACCGACGATTCTTGCCGGACGAGCAAGTTTGGATCGATTAGGGTAAAGAATTCTGCCCGCCATCCAGTTTTCTCTCCGATCAAGCGATAGAAGACGCTATACCCGAGATATATCTTTAGCGTCCTTACTGTCTTAACTCTCAATACAAGTGGGCCTTGCATGGCTCTCCTACGCGCCCTTCATTACGAAATCGATATTATACCGCCCTCCTTCGCGATGCGGTTGGCATGACTATGATAACGGCGGCCGATAACCCGAGTCGACGGGATAGTGTCATCTATCGGCAATACTACAACAAGCAAAAAGAGCTCTACGACGTCGCCAAGACCTTTCCCTTCTAAGATACTTCCATCGAAAGCCTTACATTAGATCCACACTTACGCCGTAGCTGGCAACATACCGGAGAGGCCGAGGTTCATCGTCCTAAAACCCTTATACATTCCTACCTAAGCAGCAAAAGGCGGTGCCACGAGACATTAACGCATTCGATGCAACGATCTTTAGCCGTCCGCGAAGAGAACCGCATCACGTTATCGCTAGCTTCTCGCGTCCGCGATCAACTTCAAGCCATGCAACGATGGGAGGTCTCCGTTGTTAACGACTTTTCCTCTCCACCCTTCTGGCGAATTCCCACCTCATCCTTTCTGCGGTTCATTTAGTGCAACATTAACAAGTTTATCACAGCATTTAAGTACGTGTACCGCCTCTCCCCTCCTGATTTTATCTCGTGGGAGCACTCTAAAATGATGATTTGTTTCCTACGACTGGCGAAGTATAGCTACGGGAGCCACCTTCTCCGCGGTGAGTCCGCGCTTTGATGGGATTCGAAGGAGCGATCCGGAGGACGACGGTATAAAGGTCTTAGATTCTCTCGAACCCTTCAACGTTACGATTACGCGTGGTTTTTGGACAAGATCGACTGAGAGCAGTTCACCTTTCGAGAATCCATCAGCGAATACACTCTCTTCGGTAATGTCGCCATAGCGACTACATATCGTGCTCGTTGGCGAGAGGTTAAGAATATCCACGACGATTTTCTCCGCGTGGAAAGGATTGGCCACTGGATAACGCAGTATAGACGATACCATTTCATTCATAATTTTCTTCTCGAGTATCTCGTGTGGATCTGCCTTCGTCGCTTCCAGCGAGACGTTTTCACTTCGATTCGCTCTCGAATCAAGGTCGAGCACCGAGATACTACGCTTCGTGGAGACATCCTCTTGTGTCACGATAAGGTCCAGAGGATCTCTAAAGTCTCTCTTGGTTCGGACTTCGCCGATGACGCTATTCATTTAGTACATGATAACAAGCAAAAAATCAAACATCTTAGCGAGTTAACTGATTTCTTGTGGGAGTTCAATGATAGGCATAAGCGACGACATTAGGATAACAAAGGGTACCGCATGCTGTTTCGGCGAGTGATACGGCTCCTGAAGCAAACCTTCGGGCGTCAACACGCGAGGCGTTGGCGACAGGAGCTGAAAGAACTCTTCGTGATGACGAACTAGCTAGTGCCGTATCCGAATCAAGTGATGTTCTAGCAACACACGAAAGCGGGGCGGCGAATGTGGGTGTCTATCTATCACGAACAGGTCGAGGCTCACGCCGTCGCCGGTAAGTCTATACAGTACGAAGAACTTTTTCGCCACAAAGATAATGGTCAGTGGGTGATGGGACACCAGGACAGCCAGATCATTCCCGGCATTCCCAGTGAAAGTCGGGATTTTGACGATATCGAGATGGATGCCCTTCAGGAGGAGATTCAGGGTCGGTGGAACGAGTTTGAAGCCACTGACAGGGCGAGAGGCCGTCGAGGCGGCGTCGATGCAGTGCCAAACAGTAATATAATAGTCGACGATAATGGTCATCGAGAATAATGCCGGCCAAGTTATAAAAGAAGACTCTATCTTTTCTGTCTGGTTGGAGAACTTTAACTAGACATTAATATATTAGCGACTAATTAGGGTAGAGCTATACCAAGATCGAGATTAAACTTTAATTTTGCGACCTTTACGTAGTTCTGAAGACTAGAAGTCGAATTAATTATCGCTAGGCGCTATCTCTTTGCTCGTTCCATTCGGTCCATCAATAGGATTTTGTAAAGTGCTGTGGAACCGTGGCGACATGGAACGGTTTCGCCAGCAGATCCGTTACGCGGCCGACAGTCACAGTTATCATCGATATGGGGTCAGTCAGTATCTCTGCGCGACGGGGGCCGAGGTGTCGCGGGCGTGTCAATGGCCGGGGGTGGTGATGCCGATCTTGTTCCGTGCGATGCACCACGGGTCCGGGTTTAACGAGATTCAGATTACCGGGTACCAGGGCGAGTATCTCGATCTCGCGGCGTACAGTCAGTGGCTTGGACAGCGGCACTTTCAACGGATTTGGGGTGAGAATATAAGTAACGGTATAGCGATGATACTGCGTCTCATTTATTTTGTTCATAACATCGCGAGTAAGAGTGTGTGTAGGCGGGATAAGATATTCGAGAGTCAGGATAAAGACAATACAGCAGGGTCCGTTCAGTCTAGGGACATATATTTATAGTGTATTTTTGACTTTGATTATATATATATTTATTCAACATTCATCACTTCAACATTCATCACTTCAACATTCATCACTTCAACATT